GACAATGACCATCCTCATCTCGTTGTGTGGCTGGACATAGAAAATAGCACCATGAAAAAGAGCCACATTTCTCTAAAGAACTCACCCAGGGCTGCTGAAAGCTGAAAAAGAACCTATCTAGAAGTTTGGGGCTTTTTACCCGTGAATCTTCACTTTGCGACTAAACTATTCACAGCAGTGCCAAATTTTTATGGTCACTGATTGTGGGTGCCAGCGCCCTACAAGCAAACCAAAAATGAAACCATGGCGACCACTGAAATTACAGCTGGGTCATGTTATAGAGAGGTACGTTGAAATTGAAAGGTCAGCACAAATGGTCAAAATCCGACATTTTCTCACCTTTCTGCCCGTTCGCAGCTCAGAAAATGACAATGACCATCCTCATCTCCTTGTGTAGCTGGACATAGAAAATAGCACCATGCAAAAGAGCCACATTTCTCTAAAGAACTCACCCAGGGCTGCTGAAAGCTGAAAAATAACCTATCTAGAAGTTTGGGGCTTTTTACCCGTGAATCTTCACTTTGCGACTGAACTATTCACAGCAGTGCCAAATTTTCTGGGTCACTGAATGCGGGTGCCAGCGCCCTACAAGCAAACCAAAAATCAAACCAATGCGACCACTGAAATTACAGCTGGGTCACGTTATAGAGAGAAACGTTGAAATTGAAAGGTCAGCACAAATTGTCAAAATCCGACATTTTCTCACCTTTCTGCCCGTTCGCAGCTCAGAAAATCACAATGACCATCCTCATCTCGTTGTGTAGCTGGACATAGAAAATAGCACCATGAGAAAGAGCCACATTTGTCTAAAGAACTCACCCAGGGCCGCTGAAAGCTGAAAAAGAACCTATCTAGAAGTTTGGGGCTTTTTACCCGTGAATCTTCACTTTGCGACTAAACTATTCACAGCAGTGCCAAATTTTTAGAGTCACTGATTGTAGGTGCCAGCGCCCTGCAAGCAAACCAAAAATGAAACCAATGCGACCGCTGACATTACAGCTGGGTCATGTTATAGAGAGGTACGTTGAAATTGAAAGGTCAGCACAAATGGTCAAAATCCGACATTTTCTCACCTTTCTGCCCGTTCGCAGCTTAGAAAATGACAATGACCTTCCTCATCTCGTTGGGTAGCTGGACATAGACAAGAGCACCAAGAAAAAGTCCCACATTTCTCTAAAGAACTCGCAAAGGGCTGCTGAAAGCTGAAAAAGAACCTATCTAGAAGTTTGGGGCTTTTTACCCGTGAATCTTCACTTTGCGACTAAACTACTTCCTCCGCGTGATCGAAATTGTCGCAGTTTGACTTTTGACATAAAACGGGGTATTTACTCACCAGCACTCGTACCGGAGGCAAGGAATTGGACATAGGCGATAGTCATCAGTATAGGGTGACGGCAAAGTTCTATTTTCTGTTATTTGAAGCTGAGATCTTTGAACTAGACGCGATTTCTTCGCTGATGTCGCTGCGATGGTAATTTCGACTCGTTGAGATCAGTCTGGCGTTGAAGCCCGCACATTTCTCGTGCTTATGGCCATTCACTCAAGCCTCATCACTGTTTTACCTTAGCTGGGGTGAGAATGACTTCGTGGAACAAGTAGCAGCGCTTGGAGAAACATCGAGGGGTCAGCAAACTAAATGCATGCAACAGCGATAAAATTTGTCGCTCTGGCTGAGACACTCAGTACATGATCGTACCTGCAAGAGCCGTGTAGACTCTACACGTAGTGCTAGTGATGCACGCGCAGATGCCGTACCAGCGATGCACAAAAAGAGGGCGCGCGGGACGTGACAGTACACTTACCTGCATGAGCTGTGACCACACAGCTAAAATAAATGGGCATGCCACGGCTAAAAAAGTTCATTTCAAGATCGAGGTGATTCCGCCGATGGTGATCAACCTCGCAACGATCGTGTATTCTTACTTCGTTGGTGGTGAAGTAGAAATCATCCAGAGCTAGCAGACGACAAGCATAGCAGGTCTTGTCCTGTTGAGAAAGTCAAAGCGTTTGAGATGAGGCGCGACCAACTTACAACCTTCCTTGAATTATTTTGGAACGATATTTTTGCGTCCATTGACATCAAAGACGACGAGGCCTTCATCTCTGCGTGAAATTTCTCAGTCCAACTGTCCTGGAACGTTACTCTAGCCTTCAGATTATCAAACTGTGTAACAAGTTTTGAATGGTTTAGCTTATGGAGTTACCAGTAACAAGTGACAACTCACTAGTCAAACTGCGACAATTTCGATGACGCGGAGGAAGTATTCACAGCAGTGCGAAATTTCTAGGGTCACTGATTGTGGGTGCCAGCGCCCTACAAGCAAACCAAAAATGAAACCAATGCGACCGCTGACATTACAGCTGGGTCATGTTATAAAGAGGTACGTTGAAATTGAAAGGTCAGCACAAATGGTCAAAATCCGACATTTTCTCACCTTTCTGCCCGTTCGCAGCTTAGAAAATGACAATGACCATCCTCATCTCGTTGGTTAGCTGGACATAGACAAGAGCACCATGAAAAAAGTTAAATTTCTCTAAAGAACTCGCCCAGGGCTGCTGAAAGCTGAAAAAGAACCTATCTAGAAGTTTGGGGCTTTTTACCCGTGAATCTTCACTTTGCGACTAAACTATTCACAGCACTGCAAAATTTTCTGGGTCACTGAATGCAGGTGCCAGCACCCTACAAGCAAACCAAAAGAAACCAATGCGACCACTGAAATTACAGCTGGGTCATGTTATAAAGAGGTACGTTGAAATTGAAAGGTCAGCACAAATGGTCAAAATCCGACATTTTCTCACCTTTCTGCCCGTTCGCAGCTCAGAAAATGACAATGACCATCCTCATCTCGTTGTGTAGCTGGACATAGAAAATAGCACCATGTAAAAGAGCCACATTTCTCTAAAGAACTCACCCAGGGCTGCTCAATGCTGATAAAGAACCTATCTGGAAGTTAAGGGCTTTTTACCCGTGAATCTTCACTTTGCGACTAAATTTTTCACAGCAGTGCCAAATTTTCTGGGTCACTGAATGCGGGTGCCAGCGCCCTACAAGCAAACCAAAAATGAAACCAATGCGACCACTGAAATTACAGCTGGGTCATGTTATAGAGAGGTACGTCGAAATTGAGAGGTCAGCACAAATGGTCAAAATCCGACATTTTCTCACCTTTCTGCCCGTTCGCAGCTCAGAAAATGACAATGACCATCCTCATCTCGTTGTGTAGCTGAGCATAGAAAATAGCACCATGAAAAAGAGCTACATTTCTCTAAAGAACTCACCCAGGGCTTCGGAAAGCTGATAAAGAACCTATCTAGCAGTTTGGGGCTTTTTACCCGTGAATCTTCACTTTGCGACTAAACTATTCACAGCAGTGCCAAATTTTCTGAGTCACTGAATGCGGGTGCCAGCGCCCTACAAGCAAACCCAAAATGAAACCAATGCGACCACTGAAATTACAGCTGGGTCATGTTATAGAAAGGTACGTTGAAATTTAAAGGTCAGCACAAATGGTCAAAATCCGACATTTTCTCACTTTTCTGCCCGTTCGCAGCTCAGAAAATGACAATGACCATCCTCATCTCGTTGTATAGCTGGACATAGAAAATAGCACCATGAGAAAGAGCCACATTTCTCTAAATAACTCACCAAGGGCTGCTGAAAGCTGAAAAAGAACCTATCTAGAAGTTTGGAGCTTTTTACCAGTGAATCTTCACTTTGCGACTAAACTATTCACAGCAGTGCCAAATTGTTAGGGTCACTGATTGTGGGTGCCAGCGCCCTACAAGCAACCCAAAAATGTAACCAATGCGACCGCTGACATTACAGCTGGGTCATGTTATAGAGAGGTACGTTGAAATTGAAAGGTCAGCACAAATGGTCAAAATCCGACATTTTCTCACCTTTCTGCCCGTTCGCAGTTCAGAAAATGACAATGACCATCCTCATCTCCTTGTGTAGCTGGACATAGAAAATAGCACCATGCAAAAGAGCCACATTTCTCTAAAGAACTCACCCAGGGCTGCTGAAAGCTGAAAAATAACCTATCTAGAAGTTTGGGGCTTTTTACCCGTGAATCTTCACTTTGCGACTAAACTATTCACAGCAGTGCCAAATTTTCTGGGTCACTGAATGCGGGTGCCAGCGCCCTACAAGCAAACCAAAAATCAAACCAATGCGACCACTGAAATTACAGCTGGGTCACGTTATAGAGAGGTACGTTGAAATTGAAAGGTCAGCACAAATGGTCAAAATCCGACATTTTCTCACCTTTCTGCCCGTTCCCAGCTCAGAAAATGACAATGACCATCCTCATCTCGTTGTGTAGCTGGACATAGAAAATAACACCATGAAAAAGACCCACATTTCTCTAAAGAACTCGCCCAGGGCTGCTGAAAGCTGAAAAAGAACCTATCTAGAAGTTTGGGGCTTTTTACCCGTGAATCTTCACTTTGCGACTAAACTATTCACAGCACTGCAAAATTTTCTGGGTCACTGAATGCAGGTGCCAGCACCCTACAAGCAAACCAAAAGAAACCAATGCGACCACTGAAATTACAGCTGGGTCATGTTATAAAGAGGTACGTTGAAATTGAAAGGTCAGCACAAATGGTCAAAATCCGACATTTTCTCGCCTTTCTGCCCGTTCGCAGCTCAAAAAATGACAATGACCATCCTCATCTCGTTGTGTAGCTGGACATAGAAAATAGCACCATGAAAAAGAGCCACATTTCTGTAAAGAACTCACCCAGGGCTGCTGAAAGCTGATAAAGAGCCTATCTGGAAGTTAAGGGCTTTTTACCCGTGAATCTTCACTTTGCGACTAAATTTTTCACAGCAGTGCCAAATTTTCTGGGTCACTGAATGCGGGTGCCAGCGCCCTACAAGCAAACCAAAAATGAAACCAATGCGACTACTGAAATTACAGCTGGGTCATGTTATAGAGAGGTACGTCGAAATTGAGAGGTCAGCACAAATGGTCGAAATCCGACATTTTCTCACCTTTCTGCCCGTTCGCAGCTCAGAAAATGACAATGACCATCCTCATCTCGTTGTGTAGCTGAGCATAGAAAATAGCACCATGAAAAAGAGCTACATTTCTCTAAAGAACTCACCCAGGGCTTCGGAAATCTGATAAAGAACCTATCTAGCAGTTTGGGGCTTTTTACCCGTGAATCTTCACTTTGCGACTAAACTATTCACAGCAGTGCCAAATTTTCTGGGTCACGGAATGCGGGTGCCAGCGCCCTACAAGCAAACCAAAAATGAAACCAATGCGACCACTGAAATTACAGCTGGGTCATGTTATAGAGAGGTACGTTGAAATTGAAAGGTCAGCACAAATGGTCAAAATCCGACATTTTCTCACCTTTCTGCTCGTTCGCAGCTTAGAAAATGACAATGACCATCCTCATCTCGTTGTGTGGCTGGACATAGAAAATAGCACCATGAAAAAGAGCCACATTTCTCTAAAGAACTCACCCAGGGCTGCTGAAAGCTGAAAAATAACCTATCTAGAAGTTTGGGGCTTTTTACCCGTGAATCTTCACTTTGCGACTAAACTATTCACAGCAGTGCCAAATTTTCTGGGTCACTGAATGCGGGTGCCAGCGCCCTAGAAGCAAACTAAAAATGAAACCAATCCGACCACTGAAATTACAGCTGGGTCACGTTATAGAGAGGTACGTCGAAGATGAAAGGTCAGCACAAATGGTCAAAATCCGACATTTTCTCACCTTTCTGCCCGTTCGCAGCCCAGAAAATGACAATGACCATCCTCATCCTGTGTGTAGCTGGACATAGAAAATAGCACCATGAAAAAGAGCCACATTTCTCTAAAGAACTCAACCAGGGCTGCTGAAGGCTGAAAAAGAACCTATCTAGAAGTTTGGGGCTTTTTACCCGTGAATCTTCACTTTGCGACTAAACTATTCACAGCAGTGCCAAATTTTTAGGGTCACTGATTGTGGGAGCTAGTGCCCTACAAGCAAACCAAAAATGAAACCAATGCGACCACTGACATTTCAGCTGGGTCATGTTATAGAGAGGTACGTTGAAATTGAAAGGTCAGCACAAATGGTCAAAATCCGACATTTTCTCACCTTTCTGCCCGTTCGCAGCTCAGAAAATGACAATGACCATCCTCATCTCGTTGTGTGGCTGGACACAGAAAATAGCACCATGAAAAAGAGCCACATTTCTCTTAAGAACTCACCCAGGGCTGCTGAAAGCTGAAAAAGAACCTATCTAGAAGTTTGGGGCTTTTTACCCGTGAATCTTCACTTTGCGACTAAACTATTCACAGCAGTGCCAAATTTTTAGGGTCACTGATTGTGGGTGCCAGCGCCCTACAAGCAAACCAAAAATGAAACCATGGCGACCGCTGACATTACAGCTGGGTCATCTTATAGAGAGGTACGTTGAAATTGAAAGGTCAGCACAAATGGTCAAAATCCGACATTTTCTCACCTTTCTGCCCGTTCGTAGCTTAGAAAATGACAATGACCATCCTCATCTCGTTGGTTAGCTGGACATAGACAAGAGCACCATGAAAAAGAGTCACATTTCTCTAAAGAACTCGCCCAGGGCTCCTGAAAGCTGAAAAAGAACCTATCTAGAAGTTTGGGGCTTTTTACCCGTGAATCTTCACTTTGCGACTAAACTATTCATAGCAGTGCCAAATTTTCTGGGTCACTGAATGCGGGTACTAGCGCCCTACAAGCAACCCAAAAATGAAACCAATGCGACCACTGAAATTACAGCTGGGTCATGTTATAGAGAGGTACGTTGAAATTGAAAGGTCAGCACAAATGGTCAAAATCCGACATTTTCTCACCTTTCTGCCCGTTCGCAGCTCAGAAAATCACAATGACCATCCTCATCTCGTTGTGTAGCTGGACATAGAAAATAGCACCATGAAAAAGAGCCACATTTCTCTAAAGAACTCACCCAGGGCTGCTGAAAGCTTAAAAAGAACCTATCTAGAAGTTTGGGGCTTTTTACCCATGAATCTTCACTTTGCGACTAAACTATTCACAGCAGTGCCAAATTTTCTGGGTCACTGAATGCGGGTGCCAGCGCCCTACAAGCAAACCAAAAATGAAACCAATGCGACCACTGAAATTACAGCTGGGTCATGTTATAGAGAGGTACGTTGAAATTGAAAGGTCAGCACAAATGGTCAAAATCCGACATTTTCTCACCTTTCTGCCCGTTCGCAGCTCAGAAAATGACAATGACCATCCTCATCTCGTTGTGTAGCTGGACATAGAAAATAGCACCATGAAAAAGAGCCACATTTCTCTAAAGAACTCACGCAGGCCTGCTGAAAGCTGAAAAAGAACCTATCTAGAAGTTTGGGGCTTTTACCCGTGAATCTTCACTTTGCGACTAAACTATTCACAGCAGTGCCAAATTTTCTGGGTCACTGAATGCGGGTGCCAGCGCCCTACAAGCAAACCAAAAATCAAACTAATGCGACCAATGAAATTACAGCTGGGTCATGTTATAGAGAGGTACGTTGAAATTGAAAGGTCAGCACAAATGGTCAAAATCCGACATTTTCTCACCTTTCTGCCCGTTCGCAGCTCAGAAAATGACAATGACCATCATCATCTCGTTGTGTAGCTGGACATAGAAAATAGCACCATGAAAAAGAGCCACATTTCTCTAAAGAACTCACCCAGGGCTGCTGAAAGCTGAAAAAGAACCTATCTAGAAGTTTGGGGCTTTTTACCCGTGAATCTTCACTTTGCGACTAAACTATTCACAGCAGTGCCAAATTTTCTGGGTCACTGAATGCGGGTGCCAGCGCCCTACAAGCAAACCAAAAATCAAACCAATGCGACCACTGAAATTACAGCTGGGTCATGTTATAGAGGTTATGCGAATGACGTCACGAGGAGCGCCAAGGCGGCTGCGAGTGGCAGGGGTGGCAAAATGAAGTCGTTTCTGCTTGAACTATTTTTTACTAGTCTTTGAGAGGAAATGTAAAATTTGTTGTTGGTTGTCGACATATCGTTCCTCACCTTTATTTTGATTTCCGCTGGTGTCTCGCTTGCTGAAGTTTTTAGCCTTCAACATGCCGAAGAGTTGTGCAGCCGTCGGATGTAGCAATCGTGCCGATCCTGGAACGGCTGTGAAGTTTTACAAGTTTCCAGTAGCGGACGAGCGGCGCAAACTATGGGTTGCGGCTATGAGACGAGAGAATTGGAAGCCAACTGACAGTAGCAGGATCTGTTCAGACCATTTCGTAGGCGCAGAGAAGAGCAACGATCCACTATCTCCCGCTTACGTTCCGAAACTTTTTGAACATGTCAGGACTCCTGTAAAGCGTAAAGCGGAGAGGGATTTGGTGGCATATGAATGCCGAGCGAAGCGGAAGCTGACGTTCGAGGAGAGCAAGACGCAGACACCAGTGAAAGTGGACGCCTCCGGGAATGACTTCACAGAGGCAATGGCAGATTTGCCTGGTGCCTATGGTGCAGAGGTAGAGTCTGATCCTGTAGCAGTCTCCAGTGTCTCATCGCAGACTGACATGGATATGGAGCACTTGACGCGGCTGGAGGAGACAAACAACCGTTTGGTCCTGGAAAGCAAACGGACGCCAAACGCTCCAGGACAAGGTGACACCTTGTCAATCGAGTCGTTTGAGAAAGACAACGCGAAGGTGCTCTTCTACACTGGTTTGCAGTCTTTTGGGACCATGATGGGCATATTTGAACACGTGAGGAAGAGAGTTCCACAGCACCACCGCCACACGCTCTCTCTCTTCCAGCAGTTCTTGATTGTTCTCATGAAGCTTCGGCTGAATTGTCGGGACCAAGACTTGGCGTACAGATTCGGCATTCACCAGTCGACCGTGTGCCGGATTTTCCAGCGCTGGATCCGGGTGATGCATGTGATGCTGGGACCACTTGTCAAATGGCCGGAAAGGGACGAACTACGCAAAACTCTGCCACTTGAATTTAGTAAGCATTTCCCGGGCTATGCTGTCATTATTGACTGCTTTGAAGTTTTTTGTGAACGACCTTCTGATCTGATGGCAAGAGCTCAAACGTACTCTCACTATAAAAGCCATAACACTGCAAAGTTTTTGATTGGCGTAGCGCCACAAGGTGTCATTACATTTATTTCGCATGCATGGGGCGGGAGAGCCTCAGACAAGTTCATCACAGAGCACTGCGGTCTGCTTAGTCACCTAAATCCGGGTGACCAGGTGCTGGCTGACCGTGGTTTCACTGTTGAAGACAGCGTTGGCATGTTCTGCGCAGAGTTGGTGATGCCCCCATTTACGAAGGGGAAGAAGCAACTCTCCAGGCTGAAATTGGACAGTGCTAGACAAGTGTCACGCGTCCGCATCCATGTGGAGCGAGTGATTGGAATGCTTCGCCAGAAATACACGATCCTCTCTGGCACTTTGCCCATTGCTTTCCTCATGCATGACGATAAAGCTACATCATGTGCATTCATTGACAAGGTTGTCACCGTCTGCTGTGCTCTGTGCAACTGTTGTGAGTCCGTCGTACCTTTCGAGTAAATTATATCATGCCGCTTTGTCAGCTGTAATGAATCTAATGATTGCTATATTATTATTATTATTATTATTATTATTTTATTAGTGCAATTAGGAGTATAATCGATGCAGACATGGCCAGACAACAACGAGTTCATGGAATTTTTTAAGGATTTTTATGTTATTCAAAATCGATTTTCGTGTTCCGCTCATCAGTGAATAGTATCGGAACTGAGGGTACTGTGTACAAAAATAGAACATTTTATAACAGCATAATTAATTAAAAGTGTGAACAACAAAGGAAGTGCTACAGCATTACATAATAGGTGTCAAACATAGTGCTAACGTATATAACTTATATAACTTATATAACTTATTATTATTATTATTATTATTATTGCAATGAAAAATATCAATTGTGCACTCATAATCATGTATAAACAATTAAAATGAAACAATTCCAGAACGTTTTCGTGTGACCATCATGAAAGTACGGGCGCAGCAGTGAACACGTCAAGGAGAAAGAAGCGATGGCATGAGGAGATGGAGATGGAGGATGATGATGGGGATGAACAGGATGGTCAGGAGGAAAGTAAGGGTGAGCAGGAACGGGAAGTGGAGGATGAGAGTGATACGGACGAGGAGGAGTTCGACATCGACAAGAGCAAGTCTGCCATCTACAAGCATTTGGTGTCCAGTCCGGATTGTCGTAAGTTGTTTGACGATTCCTGGTTTAGTGTTATTTGTCGCGCGCGTTTCTTTAAGCAGTTGCAGGTGTTGGAAGCTGTATATATTCGCACACGTGACCCTGTTCTATGCAAGCAAAAAGAAAATGTTGTAGCACTCACACTTTTTAAATAATACGCACTCACCAGTTTTTGTTCACACGCACTCACAGCTGCCACATTCATCTACTGCTACCATTCTCAGATACACTGCAAAGGTTCACACTACACGCGTTATGCATAACCGCTAGCTGTGCTGCATTCTCACGCTTCTTTTCATGTTACTCTAGCTATATAACTGGTTGTTTTAGTGATTCTTACTATGTGACGATGTTCCACTGATGATGGTCACACGAAAACGTTCTGGAATTGTTTCATTTTAATTGTTTATACATGATTATGAGTGCACAATTGATATTTTTCATTGCTATTTTACGACTGTTGTCTCCTCGTCGGTTATTTAAATTATTATTATTATTATTATTATTATTGTAGAAGAGAAAAGGACATATGGATACGAGTTAAGAGTCCGAGTTTCAAATTATTATTATTCATATTTATTATTAACCCTTTCCCTCAAACCAGTGAATATTATTATTAACCTTGAATTTGAAGTTCATCCCATTCCCATTTCAATTATTAATATATTATTATTATTACTATTTATTCTATTGATTCTCCCGAGTCAAGCTCCGTATGAAGACATCCAAGAAGAAGATTGCCTGATGAGTCCAGCGGGGACGAGACGTACGTCGCAATCGAGCTATGTCGTTGCTGTGTCATCTTCTATGTGCCATGCGCTACTTGATGTACCAGCCTGCTATGTCGGATACCGCTAACCATGCATCGACTAGACGCCAGGCGCGAACTGATGGTGGTGGTGGTGAGACGGAGAGCTCTTTGCCAGAACTTTGCAGCCTAGAGAGCGTGTGTGGGCAGGCGTGGGTTTACCGCCATATTGCCAGGTGTGTCTTTACCACCATATTTATCAACTATTTATTCATTATCTATATTCATCCTCTGCTGGGATAACAGCTACACCATAGCTCAGTGGTTAGAGCATCGCTGACCTGAAGGCAAGGTCCCTGCCGGTTCGAGTCCTGATGGTCACAGTCAATTTTTCTATTTATTCATATCTATATTCATCCTCTGCTGGGATGACAGCTACCCCATAAGTTAGCTCAGTGGTTAGAGCAATACCGGCAATTATATTTCTGTTTTACCTATTCTGCAGTTGCATGCGCATGTGTTCACCTCATTGACCTCGCTTGTTCCTAGTTTCTTTTGTCTGGCTAGCCAAGCTTGCTTGGTCATGGCAACGCCAACAGACTTATAATAATAGTAATAATAATGGCTTCTATCATCACTCACGACATTCCTCCGTTTCTTGTTGCATCAATATAATGACTCGTGGTCCAAATAGGGACAACACAATATAATAATTATGACTAGCCCTGAAATCCAACTTCTCTTCCTCCGCCCAGGCAAAATTTTCGCTTATCTCCTTCAGCCCAATGACAGGTGTCTGACAGCAATTTTTGCATCTTGTGCACTTCACCATCACACAAATCTGCTGGTTCAGGCGTACCAGTTCCAAACAAGTCGGCGAAGTCGGCAAAGAGTAAAGAAACATCTAGAGTAGAGCGCGTTGAATGCGAGTGAACTGGTAAAAAAAGACACGAAGTCAGTCACTGGTCAAGGTGGGTGCTGCTAGAGTACCACTGCTGGCACTGCACTGGAGTACAGAGCAGAGGTGTCATGTTGCGAAAAGCCAGCTTGTTTGATTGCATCCTGTTCAAGGTGTGTGTACGGTAAATATGCACGCGAGCTTGAAGCTGAGAAAGCCACTCAGCGACGCTCGCCCACATACTGCAAAATGAACCAGAATCGGCACTGGGCAAAACAGTTGGAAAAGAAAGGCTTCGATGACAGGGTTGTCACTCGCCCAGCTCATTCGCCTGACGTCAACGTGAACGATCCAGCAAAGCGACGCTGACTGAGCTCGCCAGCTTCGGCTGGTAAGAAACACAACCGATCGTACTCGTGAAGGAGGTGAAGCGCTTGGGAAAGTGTCGATAGAAAATATTTGCGCTTCTGGAAAGTGCGAAGTACTACCCGACAACAAGTGCTGCGTCGGCTGATGACAAAGGATGACTTCTACATTTTTCGACTTGGAGAGTTTCTCTTGATGTTCAACGACTCCTCAACTCATTCTGAGTCGTTATAAGCTGTTCTGAGAACCTGGAATGTATCAGTAAAAACTGTAAAGATAAGCGAAAATTTTGCTTGGGCGGAGGAAGAATAATTATGACTAGCCCTGAAATCCAACTTAGGGTGCTGGGTAGTGCGCGATGTACCATCAGATGTAGTATGCCCAGCACCAAAGAACAACTCAACTTATGCCAACATCACCCGGAAGAGACGTAAAAGAGCGAAGTGTTTGATGTGTAATGATGGAGTTCCTCTGCTCACATGCATAAGCAGTGAGTGGTCTTCACGCATGTCCTGGGACCCACAAATACGAATCAGCATTATGGTCCTTCAGAGATACATGCAAGCAAAGAAATACAAGAAAGGTAACGGAAATCGTTGTGAAAGCCCAGCCACCCATTGTATGCACACACGTGGCAAGTGCAACAGCAAGTACCGTGGAAGGCACAGCAGAACAAAAGTTGAAAATGCAACTCTAGAAATACCAGAATAGCAGGCTCCATGAATATAATCACTTCTCAAATGCTTGAGACTTGGATTTACAAATGCTACGACAAAAATGACTATGTAAATGGAAAGTTGGTTGCACCCCATACTAGAGGTCGAGCTTTTCTGCCGCCTTGACTGGACATTTGACTGACTCACGACTGCCATTCAGAAACTTGACAAACTCACGACTTCCATCCAGACACTTGACTGACTCACAACTGCCATCCAGAGCAGAGAAGAAATCCCTCGAGCCCTCCTTCCGGCAAACCTGCAAGAAAGCACCACTCCCTGCTCAATACACAGGGTTTCGGGGAATTCACCCTTCATGCAGTTGAGCTTGAGTAGGCTGACGAACGTTGTGCTTAGCGACCAACATTCCTATAAACTTGTCGCCGAAGTCGCTACCACTGTAATTGTACATGCATATCATTATTTAGTGGCAGATTTGATCTTGCGACACTCCGGGCAGGTCCAGTTCTTGCGCTTTGGCTTACTCTTCAGCTGCAAACAAGCCATGTGGAACAAACGAATACTGCAATCGTTGTTGGAACATCGCAGTACCTCGCCAGCCTTCACAGACTTGCAGTAGCAAAACTCCGGAGGGCCTTCTTGATCCGCAGTAGATGTTGTACTGGCAGCACCAAGTGGTTCCGAGACTGATGTAGCCGCTGAAGACGCATCGGCAGGAAGAGTGGAGAACGTCTTAGTGAACCATTTCCCAACAAGCTCTGGGAGAACAGCACACTGGAAGAATTTCTTGGCACCTGCTACCGCTTCACGGATGAAATCTGTGTCTGCAGAGATACGCTCCACAAACAGCTGACCTTCATTCCACAAAACAAAGTCACAGTACTGCACCTTACACACCAGCATCTGTAGCTGTACTTGGTAGTAGTACATGTGGTCTTGCTTAAGATGGAGTGCTCCGCCGGACTTTACTAGACAGAACTTCCCTGAATCGGCAGCATCATGCAGGCTACTGTCTCGGCACCCGTACGGGCACTTCACTTCCACCACGCCGTTGCCACAGCAGGAGCACTGCACAAGGGAGTCGGGAGTAGCGCCAATATATGGATAGTCGGGATGAATTACAAAGCCACTGGGGAGTACTTCAACCTTCTGATGTGTTGCACTGGCATGTTCACTATAGTTGTCAATTGCCTTCTGCTCGTGATCACATCCCCATTGTGTGGCTTTGCTACGAAACTTGTGTGCCTCAGGGTAACACACAGAGCGGACTAAGGACGCAGAGGGCTGGCTAATATCCGTGCGAACAGCAGACTTCAACTTTGAAGCTGTGATCCGGCCGGCGCGAAATTCAAACCAGGCCTTGGAATCTGCCTGGTTCCGCGTAGCCTGTTCCACAGCGCGTGCTTCCTCCTCTGAAACACAGACCGCTGGAAATACTGCCTCGCAACGAACGAGCAGGTCCCCAAAACTAGCATCCAGCATGTCTGGTTCGTACAATAAATCCAAAATGGGTGGATATCCCTCGGGCTTGGAAGGTACGTACCTATCGCAGAACCCGGGAACAAGGGAGAGTAATGACGGTTTACCGGCTTGACATAAATTTCCATATAGTTCACCCAGTTCAGCACTGGAGGGTTCCTTAATATCAGCAGGGACCTTCTCCTCCGACCTACGGCGCTTGCTCCCATGCTGTTTAGTGTCGGGTGCAGTGAAGTTTATGTCACGAATCCTGGCATACTCCACCTCCTTCATTGAAGGAGTTGACCATTGGTACGGCAATGAAGTGCTTCCTGTGTTCTGAACCAGCTGCGTTCGACAATACAGGCTGAACAACAGTGCAGCAACGTGAGAACAAGACTCACCAAGACCAGCCATGCAGGTGCAGTGTGCACAAATCACGCTACCGTCGTTTTGCGCAGCAATCCAGGGTTGCAGGTGGGTGCCGGAAACTGACTGGGAATGGCGGACTTTGGCGATGACAAACTTGCTGTCACATGTGTCAGATTCGGACGCTGGAAACGCACGAACATCGCCGACCCAGCCACTGACAAGGTATTTGTAGCCTTCCAAGCTCTTGTAGGCCTTGAGCTGCTCCTTGGTGTAGGGGCTGGGCGCGTTGACCAAGAAATTGTAAATATCGGGATAGTCCACAAGTGGAAATTTATCTTCCTCTAAAAAAATACTTCTGGGCAGGTACGGATCACTCGAGTCTGGTGCAACGCGCTCGAGCTTTTCACGGTACCCGCATTTGCTGGAGTCATCTAACTCGTCATACACTTTTGAAAACTTAGGAGAAGTCATGGCCACTGATTCAGCATTCGTACAATAGTCCTTTGTAAAGAACAGAAGAGGAACGTAACAGCGATACAGGAAATTTCCTTCGTGAAATTATTCCAGGCACATGTATTTCTTTTGAACTTTTCATCTCTTTTGCCACCCCTGCGGAGCACGGCCGCTTTGGCCGCCTGCACACCGCCTGCACGTAATCCTTTCGCATAACCTCTTCCTCTAAAAAATTACTTCTGGGCAGGTACGGATCACTCGAGTCTGGTGCAACGCGCTCGAGCTTTTCATGGTACCGGCATTTGCTGGAGTCATCTAACTCGTCATACACTTTTGAAAACTTAGGAGAAGTCATGGCCACTGATTCAGCATTCGTACAATAGTACTTTGTAAAGAACAGAAGAGGAACGTAACAGCGATACAGGAAATTTCCGTCGTGAAATTATTCCAGGCACATGTATTTCTTTTGAACTTTTCATCTCTTTTGCCACCCCTGCGGAGCGCGGCCGCTTTGGCCGCCTGCACATCACCTGCACGTGATCCTTTCGCATAACCTCTATAAAGAGGTACGTTGAAATTGAAAGGTCAGCACAAATGGTCAAAATCTGACATTTTCTCACCTTTCTCCCCGCTCGCAGCTCAGAAAATGACTATGACCATCCTCATCTCGTTGTCTAGCTGGACATAGAAAATAGCACCATGAAAAAGAGCCACATTTCTCTAAAGAACTCACCCAGGGCTGCTGAAAGCTGAAAAAGAACCTATCTAGAAGTTTGGGGCTTTTTACCCGTGAATCTTCACTTTGCGACTACACTATTCACAGCAGTGCCAAATTTTCTGGGTCACTGAATGCGAGTGCCAGCGCCCTACAAGTAAACCAAAAATGAAACCAATGCGACCACTGAAATTACAGCTGGGTCATGTTATAGAGAGGTACGTTGAAATTGAAAGGTCAGCACAAATGGTCAAAATCCGACATTTTCTCACCTTTCTGCCCGTTCGCAGCTTAGAAAATGACAATGACCATCCTCATCTCGTTGTGTAGCTGGACATAGAAAATAGCACCTTGAAAAAGAGCCACTTTTCTCTAAAGAACTCACCCAGGGCTGCTGAAAGCTGAAAAAGAACCTATGTAGAAGTTTGAGGCTTTTTACCCGTGAATCTTCACTTTGCGACTAAACTATTCACAGCAGTGCCAAATTTTCTGGGTCACTGAATGCGGGTGCCAGCGCCCTACAAGCAAACCAAAAATCAAACCAATGCGACCACTGAAATTACAGCTGGGTCATGTTATAGAGAGGTACGGTGAAATTGAAAGGTCAGCACAAATGGTCAAAATCTGACATTTTCTCACCTTTCTGCCCGTTCGCAGCTCAGAAAATCACAATGACCATCCTCATCTCGTTGTGTAGCTGGACATAGAAAATAGCACCATGAAAAAGAGCCACATTTCTCTAAAGAACTCACGCAGGCCTGCCGAAAGCTGAAAAGAACCTATCTAGAAGTTTGGGGCTTTTACCCGTGAATCTTCACTTTGCGACTAAACTATTCACAGCAGTGCCAAATTTTCTGGGTCACTGAATGCGGGTGCCAGCGCCCTACAAGCAAACCAAAAATCAAACCAATGCGACCACTGAAATTACAGCTGGGTCATGTTATAGAGAGGTACGGTGAAATTGAAAGGTCAGCACAAATGGTCAAAATCCGACATTTTCTAACCTTTCTGCCCGTTCGCAGCTCAGAAAATGACAATGACCATCCTCATCTCGTTGGTTAGCTGGACATAGAAAATAGCACCATGAAAAAGAGCCACATTTCTCTAAAGAACTCACCCAGGGCTGCTGAAAGCTGAAAAATAACCTATCTAGAAGTTTGGGGCTTTTTACCCGTGAATCTTCACTTTGCGACTAAACTATTCACAGCAGTGCCAAATTTTTAGGGTCAGTGATTGTGGGTGCCAGCGCCCTACAAGCAAACCAAAAATGAAACCAATGCGACCGCTGACATTACAGCTGGGTCATGTTATAGAGAGGTACGTTGAAATTGAAAGGTCAGCACAAATGGTCAAAATCCGACATTTTCTCACCTTTCTGCCCGTTCGCAGTTCAGAAAATGACAATGACCATCCTCATCTCGTTGGTTAGCTGGACATAGAAAATAGCACCATGAAAAAGAGCCACATTTCTCTAAAGAACTCACCCAGGGCTGCTGAAAGCTGAAAAAGAACCTATCTAGAAGTTTGGGGCTTTTTACCCGTGAATCTTACCTTTGCGACTAAACTATTCACAGCAGTGCCAAATTTTCTGGGTCAATGAATGCGGGTGCCAGCGCTCTAAAATCAAACCAAATTTCAAATCAATGCAACCACTGACAATACAGCTGGTTCATGTTATAGAGAGATACGTTGAAATTAAAAGGTCAGCACAAATGTTCAAAATCCGACATTTTCTCACCTTTCTGCCCGTTCGCAGCTCAGAAAATGACAATGACCATCCTCATCTCGTTGTGTAGCTGGACATAGAAAATAACACCATGAAAAAGACCCACATTTCTCTAAAGAACTCGCCCAGGGCTGCTGAAAGCTGAAAAAGAACCTATCTAGAAGTTTGGGGCTTTTTACCCGTGAATCTTCACTTTGCGACTAAACTATTCACAGCAGTGCCAAATTTTCTAGGTCACTGAAGGCAGGTGCCAGCGCCCTACTAGCAAACCAAAAATGAAACCAATGCGACCACTGAAATTACAGCTGGGTCATGTTATAGAGAGGTACGTTGAAATTGAAAGGTCAGCACAAATGGTCAAAATCCGACATTTTCTCACCTTTCTGCCCGTTCGCAGCTCAAAAAATGACAATGACCATCCTCATCTCGTTGTGTAGCTGGACATAGACAAGAGCACCAAGAAAAAGACCCACATTCCTCTAAAGAACTCACCCAGGGCTGCTGAAAGCTGAAAAAGAACCTATCTAGAAGTTTGAGGCTTTTTCCCCGTGAATCTTCACTTTGCGACTAAACTATTCACAGCAGTGCCAAATTTTTATCGTCACTGATTGTGGGTGGCAGCGCCCTACAAGCAAACCAAAAATGAAACCAATGCGACCACTGAACGTACAGCTGGGTCATGTTATAGAGAGGTACGTTGAAATTGAAAGGTCAGCACAAATGGTCAAAATCCGACATTTTCTCACCTTTCTGCCCGTTCGCAGCTCAAAAAATGACAATGACCATCCTCATCTCGTTGTGTAGGTGGACATAGAAAATAGCACCATGAAAAAGAGCCACATTTCTCTAAAGAACTCGCCCAGGGCTGCTGAAAGCTGAAAAAGAACCTATCTAGAAGTTTGGTGATTTTTACCCGTGAATCTTCACTTTGCGACTAAACTATTCACAGCAGTGCCAAATATTCTGGGTCAATGATTGCGGGTGCCAGCGCCCTAACAGCAAACCAAAAATCAAATAAAGGCGACCACTGACAATACAGCTGGTTCATGTTATAGAGAGGTACGTTGAAATTAAAAGGTCAGCACAAATGGTCAAAATCCGACATTCTCTCACCTTTCTGCCCGTTCGCAGCTCAGAAAATGACAATGACCATCCTCATCTCGTTGTGTAGCTGGACATAGGCAAGAGCACCATGTAAAAGAGTCATAGTTCTCTAAAGGACTCTACCAGGGCTGCTGAAAGCTGAAAAAGAACCTATCTAGAAGTTTGGGGCTTTTTACCCGTGAATCTTCACTTTGCGACTAAACTATTCACAGCAGTGCCAAATTTTTAGGGTCAGTGATTGTGGGTGCCAGCGCCCTACAAGCAAACCAAAAATGAAACCAATGCGACCGCTGACATTACAGCTGGGTCATGTTATAGAGAGGTACGTTGAAATTGAAAGGTCAGCACAAATGGTCAAAATCCGACATTTTCTCACCTTTCTGCCCGTTCGCAGTTCAGAAAATGACAATGACCATCCTCATCTCGTTGGTTAGCTGGACATAGAAAATAGCACCATGAAAAAGAGCCACATTTCTCTAAAGAACTCACCCAGGGCTGCTGAAAGCTGAAAAAGAACCTATCTAGAAGTTTGGGGCTTTTTACCCGTGAATCTTCCCTTTGCGACTAAACTATTCACAGCAGTGCCAAATTTTCTGGGTCAATGAATGCGGGTGCCAGCGCCCTAAAAGCAAACCAAATTTCAAATCAATGCAACCACTGACAATACAGCTGGTTCATGTTATAGAGAGATACGTTGAAATTAAAAGGTCAGCACAAATGTTCAAAATCCGACATTTTCTCACCTTTCTGCCCGTTCGCAGCTCAGAAAATGACAATGACCATCCTCATCTCGTTGTGTAGCTGGACATAGAAAATAACACCATGAAAAAGACCCACATTTCTCTAAAGAACTCGCCCAGGGCTGCTGAAAGCTGAAAAAGAACCTATCTAGAAGTTTGGGGCTTTTTACCCGTGAATCTTCACTTTGCGACTAAACTATTCACAGCAGTGCCAAATTTTCTAGATCACTGAAGGCAGGTGCCAGCGCCCTACTAGCAAACCAAAAATGAAACCAATGCGACCACTGAAATTACAGCTGGGTCATGTTATAGAGAGGTACGTTGAAATTGAAAGGTCAGCACAAATGGTCAAAATCCGACATTTTCTCACCTTTCTGCCCGTTCGCAGCTCAAAAAATGACAATGACCATCCTCATCTCGTTGTGTAGCTGGACATAGACAAGAGCACCAAGAAAAAGACCCACATTTCTCTAAAGAACTCCCCCAGGGCTGCTAAAAGCTGAAAAAGAACCTATCTAGAAGTTTGGGGCTTTTTACCCGTGAATCTTCACTTTGCGACTAAACTATTCACAGCAGTGCCAAATTTTTAGGGTCACTGATTGTGGGTGCCAGCGCCCTACAAGCAAACCAAAAATCAAACCAATGCGACCGCTGACATTACAGCTGGTTCATGTTATAGAGAGGTACGTTGAAATTGAAAGGTCAGCACAAATGGTCAAAATCCGACATTTTCTCACCTTTCTGCCCGTTCGCAGCTTAGAAAATGACAATGACCATCCTCATCTCGTTGTGTAGCTGGACATAGAAATTAGCACCTTGAAAAAGAGCCACTTTTCTCTAAAGAACTCACCCAGGGCTGCTGAAAGCTGAAAAAGAACCTATGTAGAAGTTTGAGGCTTTTTACCCGTGAATCTTCACTTTGCGACTAAACTATTCACAGCAGTGCCAAATTTTCTGGGTCACTGAATGCGGGTGCCAGCGCCCTACAAGCAAACCAAAAATCAAACCAATGCGACCACTGAAATTACAGCTGGGTCATGTTATAGAGAGGTACGGTGAAATTGAAAGGTCAGCACAAATGGTCAAAATCTGACATTTTCTCACCTTTCTGCCCGTTCGCAGCTCAGAAAATCACAATGACCATCCTCATCTCGTTGTGTAGCTGGACATAGAAAATAGCACCATGAAAAAGAGCCACATTTCTCTAAAGAACTCACGCAGGCCTGCCGAAAGCTGAAAAGAACCTATCTAGAAGTTTGGGGCTTTTACCCGTGAATCTTCACTTTGCGACTAAACTATTCACAGCAGTGCCAAATTTTCTGGGTCACTGAATGCGGGTGCCAGCGCCCTACAAGCAAACCAAAAATCAAACCAATGCGACCACTGAAATTACAGCTGGGTCATGTTATAGAGAGGTACGTTGAAATTGAAAGGTCAGCACAAATGGTCAAAATCCGACATTTTCTCACCTTTCTGCCCGTTCGCAGTTCAGAAAATGACAATGACCATCCTCATCTCGTTGGTTAGCTGGACATAGAAAATAGCACCATGAAAAAGAGCCACATTTCTCTAAAGAACTCACCCAGGGCTGCTGAAAGCTGAAAAAGAACCTATCTAGAAGTTTGGGGCTTTTTACCCGTGAATCTTACCTTTGCGACTAAACTATTCACAGCAGTGCCAAATTTTCTGGGTCAATGAATGCGGGTGCCAGCGCTCTAAAATCAAACCAAATTTCAAATCAATGCAACCACTGACAATACAGCTGGTTCATGTTATAGAGAGATACGTTGAAATTAAAAGGTCAGCACAAATGTTCAAAATCCGACATTTTCTCACCTTTCTGCCCGTTCGCAGCTCAGAAAATGACAATGACCATCCTCATCTCGTTGTGTAGCTGGACATAGAAAATAACACCATGAAAAAGACCCACATTTCTCTAAAGAACTCGCCCAGGGCTGCTGAAAGCTGAAAAAGAACCTATCTAGAAGTTTGGGGCTTTTTACCCGTGAATCTTCACTTTGCGACTAAACTATTCACAGCAGTGCCAAACTTTCTAGGTCACTGAAGGCAGGTGCCAGCGCCCTACTAGCAAACCAAAAATGAAACCAATGCGAGAACTGAAATT